CTACGACCCGGCGTTCTACCGGTGCTGCCTGGAGAAGCGGCCGCCCCACGCCTCGCAGGACGACCAAGAGGTGACAGCCTTCCTGGTAAGCGCGGCGCCGGCCCGGCCGCGGGCTGGCGCAGGAGGAGGCGCCTGGGCTTCCCCGCGCTCCCCCGGCAACGAGCGGGAGCGGCCCTGCTGCTGCCCCGTGCGGCCCTCCGCCGCCCGCCTCGGGGAAGCCGCCCGGCCTCTGGCCTGTGTGCGCTACAGTCCGGCGGAAAAGGCGACCAAGCAGTCGTCCAAAGGTCTAGCTCTCTGGCCCTCCTGGTAACGCTGCCTTACGGCGCCAGACAAGGGAAGGCAGCTTTCATGGTTATCCTCTCCCTTGTGCATCCTCCTTCCAATCAGTAACTGCCGCTGCCCACCTTAATCGGACGCGCAGCTGTAACTGCTGGCAGAAGAGGGTGTTTCGTGAAGGTCATTTTACACGAAGTTTTATGGCTGTCGTGGTTTAACCCCAGCCAGCAACCAAGCACTGCACAGCTGCTCGCTCACCCTCCCCTCCCTCCCCGGGGGGATGGGGGAGAGAATCGGAAAAAAAAAATAAATTAAAACCTGTGGGTTGAGATAAAGACAGTTTAATAGGACAGCAAAGGAAGAGAAAATAATAAGAAATAAAAGAATACACAAAACAAGTGATGCACAGTGCAGTTGCTCACCACCCACCGACCAATGCCCAGCCCGACCCTGAGCAGCGATCGCTCCCCCCGGCGTCTATAGGAGCACGATGCCATACGGTATGGAACAGCCCTTGGGCCGGGCTGGGTCAGCTGTCCCCGCTCTGCCCCCTCCTGGCTTCTGGTGCACCCGGCAGAGCATGGGAAGCTGAAAAGTCCTTAACTGGTGTAAGCACTAATTAGCAACAACTAAAACATCCGTGTGTTATCCCCATCAGCCTCACACTAAACCCCAGCCACAGCACTATACCAGCTGCAAGGAAGAAAACTAACTCTATCCCAGCCGAAACCAGGACAACGGCATAGGATGCGTGTCACATCAGATCATTTTCACCTTGCATTACTGTACCTTTCAAAGGCGGATGACAAGTAATCACTCTATACATTCACTCGTGCAGTATCAGTGGAGTATTGCCGTCATACCCTAACGTTCAGCATGCTTGGGGAGATCCATGTGGTATGTACGAAGTGCTCCAGGGCTACAAGAGCTGCTAGTAATTTTTGTCTTTTGTAGTCACTTGAAATATTTTAAGTAACATACAAACTTGTCGAATTAGCGTATTATTAAAAAAATTTTTGGAACAGTTTTTTGGAACAATTTTTTGGAACATTTTTGGCATTGGACCAGGCTGCCCAGGGAAGTGGTTGAGTCTCCATCCCTGGAGGTATTTAAAAGATGGGTGGATGTGGTGCTTAGGGACATGGTTTAATGGCGGACTTGGCCGTACTAGGTTAACGGTTGGGCTTGATGATCTTAAGGGTCTTTTCCAACCTTAATGATTCTATGATTTTTGGAGCTATATTGATTTTTGTAGCTTTTTTAATTGGGGGGTTAGAAGAGTAAATAACTTCATGGAGAAACTTCTTAAAACAGCTCAGCGTCAGGTACGTGGAGGATCTTTAAGTTTTTCTAGAATTCTGAAAAGTTTGAAAGCAAGTTAGAAGTAGATGAGAAACCAGGCAGTTCTGTGAAATTTAACCTAACGATTTTGGTATTACTGATGTTTCTATATTTGTTTTTTGAACAGCTCTTGCTACAGAAATTTAAAAGTACCTGAGATCTTATCTTCAAAAGAGTTTGTTATATTTTTTTTAATAACAGCATAAATCTACTGCAAATGCTTATGTACACATTTATATTATCAAATTCACCATGTGAGATGAAATGAAGATTACTAATAGTTTAAACATGCAGAACAACGCAAGGCTGAAGCACGAATAGCTGGGTGTTCATGCTCTGAAAACAATGTGCATAGGAAGCAGATGTTTAAAGGTCCTTTTCATTCGTGAAGCATCAGTAGCAGCTTCTGCTAACTGAGTTCACATTGAGTTTAAGGTTTTCTGTTGGTTTTAGTAGACTTTGTCAGGCCCCTAAAACAAGTCTCAATTTTAGTTTCCAAACTTGGCATGCTTATGTGTAAAATAAACACTTATTTATTTTTATAGGAAAAAGAGTAATTTTTATAGATTGCTTTTATTATGTTTTTTCAATTTTTTAAAATTTCTTTTTGTTGTTATTTTGGTATAGTTTATACATGGGTTTTATTGTTTTCAGCAAATTTGGACTGTTTCAAGCTCTTTTTCTTTTTTCTGTAAAGACTTCCTTGCTGATGGCTTTTAAAGTTACTGATACTTTCTATCTGCTGCTGAAACTATTACTTCAAGGCTTGTTTTCATCTTACAGTGGTCGTCACCTCCAGAAGCCATTGAACGCTTTAAATCTCAAGAAATATGGTTTGCTCCACCTCAGTTCTATGAATTGTGTAGGCTGTGCAACTTCTCTTCACTTCATGAGTTACACAAGTTCAGCTCTGATCGAGCTCTAGAGGGATGTGAACGTTGGATGTCTGTGGTGTTAACTGCTTCAGATGGCTACATTCAGCTATTGCCAGGTAAGAAAAGAGATGAAGGTTCTTTTAAATATTAAAAAACTTGGGAATTAATACATACTGAAGCCACATGACATAAATCCATCTATAACTGTAAGGAAAATATTCTTTTAAGTCAAGTTACTGCTTGCTTTTTCTACTGATTGGTTTCCTTCTTTGATACAGTTGATAATGGCTATTGTCAGAGATAAGCTACTGAATCAGACAGACAGCACAGTTATTTCTGTACTTACTCATCATCTCATTGTCTCATATGGTTGCCATTAATATGTTTGTTTATGAAGAAATTCTAGCATTTCAACTTTTTTTTTAATCTGAAGGGCGTATTAGAACTCTTCCTATTTAGTCCTTTTCAGTGGGAATTCTCATTTACTTCAGTTACTCGTTTGTCTTTGTAAGGGCAAGTGGATCAAGCATAGCTGCGGTATCAGTCTTCACCATTGCAGTGATAGGGCAGTGATCTAAAAAGATACACTCGTTCGTTTTCCTCCTGTCCTTTCTACTTAAGTCTCTCATTTCAATCATGTACATTTTTGCCTTCTCCTTAAGAAAAGCTGTATCTACTATTTCTTATTTTCTGCTTCTTTAGTTTGCTTTTCATTATGCTTTCTCCTGGGTTTTTTTTGTCACTATTGACCTCTAGAAATTCTGTATTTGGAGTATATTAGCATTCTTGCACAAGAGTAACATGCATTTATATGGCAAAACACTGTTTTCTTCAACAAAACAGAACCAAATAGTTTCTATTCTTAGTCCTACTGTAGCCTATCTTTATACTCTTGGAAAAGTAGTTGTCTTGTCCACCATCTATTATATAAATTCATATAGGCTGTGATTATAGCATATTGGTATTACCGGGAACACTGGACCATTCAGATCAACACCTCAAATGTGCACTGCCGCGTCACTGACAGACACTTCAGAAATTTATGGCTGTATCTTTAAATCTGAAGATGTTTAGAGGCAATTTACTTTTTTGTTGTGAAATACATTCCACTGAGTTTCATGTCCTGATAAAGATTAAAAAATTGCTAGCGTCACTTGATCAAAAGGCTGAAAAATAAGGTAGGCAATGTATAACTAAAACTTTTTTTCTGCCCCCAGGAGATGAGTTATATCCAGAAGATCCAGATTATACAGGAGAAAAGAAAATAATCATGTCAACAGATAAGAAGGTTGAAGATCTCATGAAAGAGGGTAGTGTATTTCACAGGATAGTAATAAAAAACATCAACGATTTTGCTGTCTATGTTAATATTCAAGCAAAATATAAACATATGAATCCATTGATGATAAACTCTGATTGTCCAGATTACAATAGCAGATTATAGTATCTGTTTGGTTTAAAGCTAGAATATTTTTACATACATACATATGCACTGTGGTTTTGGTCCTTTCTAACCATTGCCAAATAGTCAGGAAAACATTCCTTTGTGCTGCCAAAGCATTCTGTGTGTGCGTGGTTTGAGATTTATGTGTACCTAATTCTTTGAGTCTTTGAAACAGCACAGTTGTGCCAGTTACGATGTTTAGAGGCTACTGAAAACTTAACGTAACGGTCAACTTAATTATTGATTAACTTAAATACAGTTCAATGGTAAATATACTGAGCCATTACCACCTTATTCTACTTACATACTAATTGCAGAATATGCTGCAACGCTGGTCTGGTGGGTCACGCAGATCCTTTTCTCACTGAAAATTTAAGCGTATACCATGTTCAGAACAAGTATGTTTCGAGTTGAAGAATTCTTTTACTATGCTTCCCAAAGTTATCCATTAGACAACTGTAATGTGTGCCTAGGAATGAATGAAATCTCCCATTCCATATCTGCTGACATCTCCCAGTCTATTCTCTTTAATTTTGGGGAAAAACAGTGTATATGTGTATATATAGATTTATTAGCTGAAATTCACTTTTTAAAAAAATTACTATAAAGTTAATGCTTATATTCGATATACCTAAATCCTTTCTACTAATGGTAATCTATGCAAAACTTTACCATTTTCAAAGGTAGAGATAATTTAGATAAACTAAGTCATCTATCAGATTGAGTGTGTTCTCACCATTTTTTATTCATGATAATTTTTATCTTCAAGTTGTTAGCAATTTAAAAAAATAGAAAAATAAATCATTTAGCTCCAAAGAGATACCAACAACTTCAGGGAATAACGTACTACCTTGGAAACACCCACTTCCATATTTCAACATCCCACATTTTGCTTCTCAACTATTCTGCTAAATATATCTGAGATTTAAGAACTTCAGAGGAAGGATTGCTGCTTGCTTTTTTGTTTTGGATTTTTGTTTTTTTGGTTTTGTCTTTTTTTGTGCAATAAGTGGAGAAAATGGAGCAGTGATGTAAGTTCTTCTTTACCTGGAAGAAGAATGAATGATGACTTGAGATCAGCCAGTAAAGTTGTTCAGAAGGCTTTGTTTCAGCTTTTGTTCTGTATTTCAATTAAAACCTTCTGCAACATTTTCATTAAATTGAATTGCTTTGTAGCACTCATTTGGATTGGAAAAAAAAATGCGTGTCCTTCTCTTCTCTCTGAACATGCTCACACTGTTCTTGATTTTGCAGACCTTGTTGAAATTCGTGTACCTCTGCTAAACATGGATCATGTGAAGCAGTACATTATGTATACTGTATATTATGCAGTATAATATCGCCTTCAGAATATTCTGGCTAACTCTTCTGAACATGAAGACAACAGGATAATTAAAAGGGAGAGTAGAGGAAGCAAAGAAAGTACCCTGTATGGCTGTCTTACGGGATTTTTAGCTTTTTGAGATTAACACTGGACACTGTAGTACTAGGAAGACACGAGGGAAAGGCATGCTTACAATCATATTTGTGGCATCTTTACTAACAAATACCTTGGCTTCAAAATGATTCAGTTATTTATTCATAATGGGCAAAATAACTCATCCAAGTAATTGCTAGGTTGTTTTATAAGTTACAGTGAGAACATACACAAATTAACAAGATACAGCATTGATAAAGATGTGGTATTGGTTGGGCTCTCACTTTCTGCGTAGAACCAAGATTCCTTATTTTGAGCTGGTAGACAGTAATGCAGCAAATTAAAGTTATTCTGTCAGCCCAGGGAAGGGGGACAGAGAAACACTTGCAAAACTATTTCAATTTGATTGTTGTTGTGTAGCAACAACAGTAAACTACTCTCTTCTGTTCCTGCAGACAGAGGCTTAAAAAAAAATACCCTATCCGTGATAATTGGTAATAGAATGGTAGAATGGTTTGGTTTGGAAGGGACCTTTTAAACATCATCTAACCCAAGACTCCCGACGTGGGCAAGAACATCTTTCACTAGATCAGGTAAAGCCCTGTCCTGTCCAACCTGACCTTGAACACTTCCAGTGACGGGACATCCACAACTTCTCTGGGCAACCTGTTCCCATGTCTCACTACCCTCACTGTAAAAAATTTCTTCCATGTATCCAATCTAAACATACTCTCTTTCAGTTTAAAACCATTACCCCTTGTGCACTCACTACAAGCCCTGGTAAAAAGCCTCTCTCCATCTTATAAGCCCCCCTTTAAGTATTGAAAGGCAACAATAAGGTTTCCCCAGAGCCTTCTCTTCTTCAGGCTGAATAACCCCAACTCACTCAGGCTTTCTTCACAGGAGAGGTGCTCCAGCCCTCTGATGATTTTCATGGCCCACCTCTGGATCCACCCAAGCAGGTCCATGTCTTTCTTGTACAGGGGACTCCAGAGCTGAATGCAGTGCTCCAGGTGGGGTCTCACAAGAGCAGAACAGAAGGGGAGAATCGCCTCCCTCAATCTGTTGGCTGTGCTCCTTTTGATGCAGCCCAGGATACAATAGGCTTTCTGGGCTGCGAGCACACATTGCCAGCTCATGTCCAATTTTTCATCAACCAGTACCCCCAATTCCTTCTCTGCAGGGCTGCTCTCAATCCCTTCATCACCCAGTCTGTACTGATACTGGTGATAACCCCAACCCAGGTACAGGAGCTTGCACTTGGCCTTGTTTAACTTCACAAGTTTCACATGGGCCCACTTCTGATACCTGTCAAGGTCCTCCAGATGGCATCCCTTACATCTAGCGTGCCAACTGCACCACTCCGCTTAGTATCATCTGCAAAATTGCTATCTATGTCATCAACGAAGATATTAAACAGTATTGGTCTCAGCATGGACCCTTGAGGGACACCACTTGTTACTGGTTTCCATTTAGACATGGAGCCATTGACTGTAACTCTTTGGATGTGACCATACAGCTAATTCCTTATCCATCTAATAGCCCATCCATCAAATCCATCTCTATCCAATTTAGAAGCAAGAATTTGGGGGGGGACCATGTCAAAGGCCTTACAGAAGTCCAGGTTACTCTTCCCTTGTCCACTGATGTAGTCACTCCATTGTAGAAGGCCACTAGACTAGTCAGGCACTGTTTGCCCTTGCTGAAACCATGTGGGCTGTCTCAAATCACCTCCCTGTTTTCCATATGCTTCAACATATCTTTCACAAGATCTGTTACATGATCTTACCAGGCACAGAGGTGATGCTGACTGGTCTGAGGTTCCCAGCGTTCTCCTTTTTACCCTTTTTAAAAATGCGTGTGATATTCCCTATTCTCCAGTCACTGGAGACTTTGCCTGACTGTCACAACTTTTCAAATACAATGGAGAGTGGCTTGGCAACTGCACGTGTCAGTTCCCTCAGGGCCCTGGGATGCATCTTGTCAGGTCCCGTGGACTTGTCTATGTTCAGGTTCTTCAAATGGTCTTGAACTTGGTCTTCTCCTATGTTGGAAAATACTTTATTCCCCCACCTTGAGATTCAGGGACTTGAGAGATGTGGGAAGAGGGACTGCCAGTGAAAACTGAGGCAAAAAAATCGTGGAGTACCTCAGCCTTCTGCATGTGGGTTGTCACTAGATGTCCCATCTTATTTATCAGGGGGGTGGGGGTATATACATTTTCTTAAGTCCTCCTTTTCTGACCAACATACTTGCAGGAGCCCTTATTATTACTCTTCACATCCCTTGCCAAATTCAGCTCCAGCTGTGCCTTAGCTCTCCTGATCCCATTCCTATACACCCAGGCAGTATCCCTATATTCTTCCCTATGGATACATATTCCTGCTTCCAGTGCCTATGCCTTTCTTTCTTGCACTTCAGTTTGACCAGAAAGGCCTTACTCAGTGTCCTGATTTCAGCTGGGATAGAGTTAATTTTCTTCCCAGTAGCTGGTATAGTGCTGTGGTTTGGATTTAGTGTGAGAATAATGTTGGTAACACACGGATGTTTTAGTTGTTGCTAAGTAGTGTTTACATGAGTCAAGGACTTCTTCAGCTTCCCATGCCCTGCCAGGTGCACAAGAAGCTGGGAGGGGGCACAGCCAGGACAGCTGACTCAGACTGGCCAAAGGGCTGTTCCATACCGTATGACATCATGCTCAATATATAAACTGGGGGGAGTTGTCCAGGGGGCGTGATCACTGCTCAGTGACTGGCTGGGCATCAGTCAGCAGGTGGTGAGCAGTTGCATCACTTGTTTTTCCTGGTTTTTGTTTCTCTCTCTCTCTCTCTCTCGTTGTTTTCTTTTTCATGACAATTTTCAATTATCATCATCATTATTATTATTGTATTTCAATTGTTAAACTGTTCTTAACTCTACCCACGAGTTTTCTTACTTCTCTTCTTCAGATTCTCTCCCCCATCTTACCAGGGGGGAGGGTGAGCGAGCGGCTGTGTGGTGCTTGGTTGCTGACTGCAGCTAAACCATGACACTCAGCTGTGCTGGTCTCCTGCCTTCCTCGCCTGATTTCTTACACACTGGAATCAAGAGCTTTTGTACTTTAAGAAAAACATCTTTAAAGAGCTGCCAGCTCTCTTCTGGTCCTTTATTGCTGAGAGCAGTTTCCCAAGGGCTCCCATCCTCTAGTTCCTTAAACAACTGAAAGTTCACTCTCCTAAAATTCTGGGTCTTCACTTTACTCTTCATCTGGCCCATATCCCTCGAGATCATGAATTCAAATATACAAAACAATATATAAAAGAAAATACAAGAAAACCAAAGAAATTACATAATCTGCAACTGCTTTGATTTTGCAATACACTCTTCCATAGTTGCTGGAGAGCTTCCCTGATGATTTTTCATTGTTCTGTACCTTATGGTTGTTCTACCAGTTTCCCTTTGTGGTAGAAAGTAGCTATTAGGAGAAAATATTTTTAGGAAAGAAATTATTCAGCAACCTAGATACATGTTAGATTCTTCCAGAAGTTTTTACACACCTGCGTGTTGCTGTACATTATCCCTTTAATTCTAATCTAAGTTTTGC